GCCATAGAACTATATAAGCCTCATTTTATCAAATGAATAATTCAATATTGATAGGAAAAATTATTATTGATGTTTTGGTTATGGTCCAGACCCATGTAGGATTGTCCGAAATATCTTCAACATAGAGATGTCATATTCCTAAGATGCTACCTATACGAAGATTAAGGTCGGAAGAGGTTTCCAATTCGATTATTCTGATACTCAAATTAGTGATATGAGATTCTCGAATGTGTGTTTGAATAGTTTTACAGTAAAAAAGAGATAATACTTTTCTGTTGTTCAGAATATATATTTTTTATTTTAAAAGATAAAAAAAGTTTAAGATTATCATCGTTATAAAGTTTATGATTGTCTTCACGAATGAAAAGGAAGTACTCTAAGAATGACTTAGATCTCAAGTGATAACTATATGTTGGTTGATGATAAATGTCTTATCAAATATATTTTTGGTATCATTATTTATATGCTGAAGCTTTGGAGCTTATTAATTACCCAATCAAGATCTTTATGTTGTTATGAAGATAGATGATGCATTTGAAACTTTTGATACCATGACCAAGGTAGTGCCCCAAGTTAGAATCAAATAAATGAGATAATGGAAGATAAATATGACAAGGAAAAAAAATTATTATATCAATTTAAGATTTTTTAAATTTTTTGTTAATTATCCAAGTCTAGTCCAAACTTGATTTGGGATCAATGCATCTCAAACCAATTTTTTTTAATTATTAAATATTTTTATAAGATAAAAAATATTATAATTGATTCCGAATCAACATCAAAATAATATAATAAAAATTAACTTAGCACTATAATTTAAATTTTATGGATGATCTACATTAACAATAACAAAGTTAGATTGTCTAATATTTATTGTCGAGATCACTGAGATAAAAAAAAAAGTTTTATGATTTAGATGAGTCAAGAATATTTAAATCTATTTTATAAAATAACATTAAAAACAAAAAGATACAGAGTGTTCACCATGTTCTCCAACGGTCGTCAGCATCATCATGATGGCAAAGGATGGGCACATCATAACCACAACAGCATCACAAAGAGCATGACATCAGTGGATACAGTTGGGAACAGTTCTCAGCCCCTTCTTCATGCTTGCCCCCAAAGGTGTCCATAATTACGAGAAATTAGGAAGCCTAAATAAACGGCATCCATCATCTACATCGCGATCGTCCGTTGATTCGAAGGAGCAGATCCAAGGGCGGTGGCTCAAGTGGACCGGAAACACGACCCGAGCGGGTCCCACCCCAGTCGGGTTCTCCCGGTGGACCCACCAACACGTGTCCGCGCTCCCTGCCAGGGTGGATGGGTAGCATCTGTGACTCCGGTGGGCGTTCGCTTGGCCACCGCGGAATCCCCGCCCCAACGCCATCGGTACGCTCGCACATCCATCGCCCTTTAAACCCACCCCCCCACCACCACTCTTCTCCCTCACAAATTCCCCGGAGATGGAGATGGAGAACACCGACTCGTCCTCCGGCATGAAAAATCAGCAGGAGCTGCAGCACCCGCAGCTCCCGCCGGGGTTCCGTTTCCACCCCACCGACGAGGAGCTCGTCGTTCATTACCTGAAAAAGAAGGCCGCCGCCGCACCTCTCCCCGTTGCCATCATCACCGAGGTTGACCTCTATAAGTTCGACCCCTGGGAGCTCCCAGGTCTGTCTCTGTTCTTCCATTTGCATGCGCCACTTGATCCCGTACGGCTGCTAACCCAGCGATGCATTCGATTGGACGTGGTGTCCGACTAGGTAAGGCGAACTTTGGAGAGCAGGAGTGGTACTTCTTCAGCCCCAGGGACCGCAAGTACCCCAACGGGGCGCGACCGAACCGGGCGGCGACGTCCGGCTACTGGAAGGCCACCGGGACGGACAAGCCCGTGCTGACGTCCGGCGGAAGCCAGGTCAAGGTCGGGGTGAAGAAAGCCTTGGTGTTCTACCGCGGGAGGCCGCCCAGGGGAACTAAGACCAACTGGATCATGCACGAGTACCGGCTCGCCGACGGCAGCAGCCCTGAAAACAGCAGCAGCAGTAGCTGCAGGCCCCCCTATGGTGGTCACATGGCGAACAAGAAGAAAGGCGGATCCCTCAGGGTAGATTACTCCCCCCTCATCAGTTAATTCAGTAGCGGTAACGTGTGATCAGGCTGGTGGATCTTGAATCGCGATCCCTGTTGCTTCACATCATGCAGTTGGATGATTGGGTTCTGTGCCGCATCTACAAGAAGAACAACAGCGTGAGCGATAGCCTGAGGCCAACGCATCGAGACAGGGAAGGCGCCACGGACGACATGCTCGGATCCGCGCCATCTGTGGCTCATCAGACAGGGATGCAACCTCAACGAGCTCCGACCAACTACAACTCACTGCTCGAACATGATGAGACTTTTCTCGAGGGACTACTAGCGAATGAGGTCGGTCTGCCCACCAATTCCATCACCCACCTCGCTGCTGCTGCTGCAAGAGCCAAACTCAACCTCTCGCCTGTTCCTCCCAGTACCACCGGTACCTTTCCCACGAGACACCCTCTTTCCTCTGCATACTGGACCGAGCCCACCGACATCGCAGCACCGCCTGCCCAGAGGTTCCATGCCGGCCATGGCAGTGGCAGCAACAATGCTGCCGACAAGAACAATACCAGTAGCTGCAGCAATGGCAGCGCCACCAACGATGACGGTGGCCACACAAATCAGATGCTTCTCAATCAGATCCCCTACGGCACAACATACCACGACCAAATGATTCTTGGATCACTACGGGATGGTGGAGCCATCTTCCAACAGCCATACCAGCTGCCCGGAGTGAATTGGACCTCCTAATTCGAAGCTTCTGAGAGGTGAGGTACTGATGTCCCATCTGTCTGGTAGTAGCCCATAATATACAGAGGAAGAAGGATTGCTGGTGGAGCACCTGCAAATGCTCAAATTCCCCTACTAGAAAGGTTCTCTTCAGTCCCAGGTAACTCAACAGTGTACATATATATAGTTTATTGTTGGATAGCAGAACAGAGATCGAGCGTCAGAGCATAAAATCCAGTAGGATTCTTTAGTAAATATCAAATAGGAGAGAGAGAGAGAGAGAGAGAGAGAAGATAAAGTTATTAGTACTGTGAGTTGTAGCTGCTTGCACCTTGCAATAAATTTCTGATGGAATTTGATCATGTTCATATCACTCATGCTGGTGAAAGTTCTGTAGAGACCTGAATACTTGTTGGAATTATATTTGTTGAGAAGTGCCCATCACTTGCTTCGCGATCAACATCATCATCAATTTCACCTGTTAAACCTGCAAGAATTGTTTCTGAAATATGGCTCCTAAACTATTCTAGTATGTTTCTTTCTATGATAAACTGCTTTCGTCTCTTAACATGAGAAAATTATTTATTGCTTGGCTTCTATTTGAGCTGCTAACTATCTCCATCTGCACAGTGGAAGTGACAAAGAAAGAAAGTTGGAATCATCTTCTAACTATCTTCATCCGCTTTTATTTGGAAGCATCCTCATACTGAGGTGGACACTAATTACGAAAGAAAGTTAGGTTCTACCAAAACAAGAAGGTAAGCCTCAGCATATGTGGGGCTGACTTCAGCCTCACGAATCCTTAATGAGCTGCAGGATCGATGCCGTTCCAAAAGCCTTTTCCCGGTTCTCTTTTCCTCCTTTCCTGTCATGGGAAATCGCCAAGCGAGTGCATGTGGACTTTCCCATGTCCGGCCGCTGAGATATTTGTCTCTATCTCTCTCTCTCTCGTTCGTCTGATGTGAATACATGTAGAGTGGGAGTCACACTCCGCGGGCTCGTTTGTCCCTGGAAGTTGACATCAGTGAGTGGGAACCCTAGTAATCGTACTGCCCAAATGGGAAAGATGTCGAAGAAAGTTTCAGCTGCAGTTGGGTCGAGGCTGCCAAACGAGGGAGAAGATGGAGGGCAAGTTCACTTAACAGGATGCGCATCTCTGATGTGTTGACCTGCTCAAGCAACAGGAGCTACTCCAATACTTGAAAGAAGAAACCACTGTGATGATAGATGGCAGGATTACAGAATGGTCCCATTCTCATGCCTCAAGTGTAACTCCAATACAAAACACTGAGACACAGAGAGAGAGAGAGAGAGAGAACTTATAGACGATAGTATCACATGAGAATAATCTCAGTTTATTACAAAGCCATTAGAACAAACAAGAGTTTAGATATTTATATTGAATTGACTTACGATATGCTTCGCGAACAATCGGTGTACAATCCTACATACGAACACAAAGATCAGTTTGACTCCAATTCATTGTCGATTTTAATGATCTTAACATCGTATCAAACCCAATATTCAAGAAAAAAAGAAACAAAAGATCTAAAGAAAAGTTAGATGTTGGCTGTATGAAGTGAGAAAAAGAAGAACAGTGCTATGTTATCACCTACTTACGATGGGTTTTAATGGAACAGCCCATGTTGATTAATAGTTATGATGCTTGTGTTCCTCCTGACGAACAGCCCACGATAATTCTTACTCGTAATAATGTTTTGGAGTTGATTTGTCATTTGTTCTTCATCACATCTCGAGAGTCGTGGTTTGTCGATGAAAGAGATCTGTGGTTTCGTAGACTCTACATACGTTACATTACTTCAACTACATGATTTTTTATGTAGTTCCAATCTCTGCCATTACTGTCTCTCTTTGGTCTCCACCTTGCGCCGCAAGTCATCAGTTGTGTTTGGTGATGATTAGGGACAACCTGCAGTTGCATCACGCGACTGCTGGGAACTACAATATTGGGATTCATAAAACCAGCAATTTTTTTGGAGAACAAGGAATTGAAAGGCATTGAAAACTAGGAATCGAGTATTTTGAATACCTCACGAGAAAATAATACTTCGCATCTCTCTGATAGTTCCTTGGATATCGAGAGGGGTTGAAAGAATAGAATGTCTGGTAGAAGGTTTAGTGTCACTCTGATATGTTCTGCATCCCCAGACTCGGGTCGTTCCATTGGCTTATTTGGGGATCCCAACCCTCAGGAGACCCAGGTAAGCAATAAATCTGAAGATAAACATCATGAGGAACAATGCTATCACAGACAAGGCTCTTTTGTCGAAGCCAAGCAACTTGAAGGAGGGGAACTCCGAGACGGGGCATGTGGTGGTGCGAGTGCACTGGTATGTGTCGGTGGGAGAGTACTGCGACGCTATCTGCAGCTTGAATGTGTAGTAGTTGAAGGAGACGTACTTGACCCACGAAATGAAGGGCGGGACGTTCTGCACGTAGAACCCGGAGGCGAGCTGGAAGATGACCATGAGCACCGTTAAGAGCGCCGACCCGGACTTGAGGTTCGTGACGAACGCCCCGATCGCCAGCCCTAGGCTCTGCGCCACCACCACGCTCAGCAGCAAGGCCGAGAGACAGATTAAGAAGCTGCTCGCCACAGGTTTGAGGCCGCCCAACCAGTACGTGATGGTGACGAAGGCGATAGGGAGGCTGAGCTCCATGGGCAGGTCCCCCAACGTTCTGGCGATGAAGTAGGATGACAACCGGTACATCCCGGAGGACCTCTCCTTGCTCAGCATGGTGCGCTCTTGTGGGAATGTAAATATTGCTTGGAACGATGCGTAGTAAGCCCAGAATCCAGCGATGAAGAAGAGAAGCCCCGCCTGCACGAAGGATCACGGAAGCTCATGTAAACAGTAGAAGGTTTCCTGATTCTTTCGCTGCTAGATAAAATGGTGTCGATCATGCGAGTGAAGAAAGAGGACCTGATCCTGGATGTGACCTGCCGAACCATACCATAGGATTCCTCCGATGAGAGCTGATATAATCACCTGTGCCACCTTTCTCCCGGCGAAGGTTTCATGCCTTCTTTCCTTGAGTCCCCTTTGCAGTAACACCGTGAATTGTTGCCACCAAGTAGTGCACCACTGATTCGTCATCTTCTCCGCCTCGTGTTGCTGCTGATCAAGTTGTTGGCTCAGGCCTGAAAGCTCTTCTGCAACCTTACCACGCAAGTGGTGGTTATAAGCATCCACTAAAGCTTCTTTAGTAGATGCTGTACCTTCGACTGTTTCATTGAAGGAGATGCCTGCACTCACAGTGGCACCGAGTCAGTCCCATCCGTATCGAAAGGTTTGCGTGATGAAGTGAGCGGCCACGTACCGTTAGCGAGGTCGAGAAGGAAGTCGGCAGGATTCATGGGCATAGCAGGGGAGTAACCGATGCTTGCGAAATAGCCCATGGCCTCACTACCTCTGCCGTAGTATATGGCGTTACCCTCTGACAGCAGCAGGATCTTGTGGAACATGTAGAAGAGGCGGCTCGACGGCTGATGGATGGTCATCGTCACCGTCCTGCCGCCCTTGGCGAGGTCCGCGAGGGTGGACACGATTCGCCCGGCAATGGTGGAGTCGAGACCCGAGGTGGGCTCGTCCAGAAACAGCAGGCTCGGGTTGATGAGCATCTCTTGGCCGATGCTCACCCGCTTGCGCTCTCCGCCGGAGACCCCGCGCACGAAGGTGCCGCCGATGATGCTGTCACGGCACGCGGTGAGGCCGAGCTCCTCGATGACGGCCTCCGCCTTCTCGGCCTTTTCCCGGCGCGAGAGGGTCCCAGGGAGGCGGAGGAGCGCGGTGAAGACGAGGGTCTCCGTGACGGTGAGGTGCGGGTAGAGGACGTCGTCCTGCATCACGAACCCCATCCTGCGCCTGAGCGAGCTGGAGAAGGGCTTCCCGTTGTAGGTGACGCTGCCGGTGAGGCGTTGAGTGCGTGCCACGCGGCCGGCAAGCACCGTCAGCAACGTCGTCTTCCCACTCCCCGAGGGCCCGAGCATCGCCATCATCTCCCCCGGATACACTGTACCCGAAATCCCATTCAGGATCACCCTCTCCCGCTGCTTTCCCTTGTTCTCCCCGCGCTTCTCCTTCGTCTTGATCTTGTACACCACATCTTCGAACTGCATGGAACTCATTACCAAGTCGCCGTTACCTCTCATCAAACAACTTCATCGAAGGTGATCATAGGGCAGAATCAATTAGATACTCTCTTCTCGAAATGCGCTCTACTGTACGACACATTTTAAATGCTTCTTAGCCTACATGCTTTTCTACCTTTCACTGTGAAATCAAATAATAGTTCTTCTCCTAAATTTTCAGTTTGCTCTTCATGCACTTGAAATCAACAGTGAAAAATCTTTAAGCTAACATGCAATAGGGGAAAACTCAGAACTTGAATAGAACGGGTAAGGACCGAAGATTGGACGTTCATGTACTTTAAGATCGATAGGACGATGGGCTTTGGCGAAGATTGATTGCGGCGCTGCATCATTCTTCTCTCCACGGTCCGGTTGCTGCAGTTCTATCTCCGCCATTTTCGACTCTGATTCCATGTCCAAACTTGCTCGATCGATTTTTTGGATCCTTCGTCTCGGGATTCTTTTTTGTTTCTCGTTCTCCTCCTCCTCCTCCTCCTCCAACGGAGAAGAGAGATCGAGCCGGATGGAGAGAAGAGACCGGGGAAGGTGACACGCCTCCTCTTGTTAATAAAGAGCAATGCCTTCTCCCTAGCAGAGGAGCCAAGAAGAGAATAGAGATATGTTCGGTGATGTCCTTTTTCTTCTCGTACCTCGACAGTTTGCGTTGATATGGTGTCCCACTACCGGCGATTTGCTGCAATGAGGAACAAATCAAGAGGGGGAATGGGACCTGCAACACAACCATCCCGACAACTTGGTTACGCCCAGCAGCGCAAGTTTCTAGTGGATGGAGCTAATAGTACGCAGGATCTCGCTGTAAATCTGTAAAAGTGGTTTGGTCATTTAATGCAGTAGATATAACGGTCGATATGCTACGGTGCATGCATTAGAACAATGCCACGTGGATACAATGCAGTGCAGCAGATTCGTTAAATCTTTTGTAGATTCCACGCAGTGTTCTTAACTGATTCGTTGAAGGCAGTAGTCGTGTGAACCAAACCATCATTCCTTCTATGGTCGGTCGACGCAGCGATGGGGCAGTTAGTGGGGGCCCGCTGGCGCTCTCGCTTCCACGCAAGGATAAGGCAAGTGGACGGGGCCCATTACTGTTGTGGTCCACGTCAAATTCGCACTGGTACATGTCGGATTTTGCTTGCCCGTTGCTGTTTGTTTGTCTGGTCCATGTCAAATTCGGATTGATAGATTGGGAAGATTAGAACATGACACTATTTTTCTGTGTGTCCTCTTGATAAAGATGATAAATAAAGTGGATGCTGAATCTACTCATGATTTCCTTTTTCTCTAATCTCATATGAGGATTGATTTTTCACTCATCCACATATGGGATGGTGGAACTATTGTGATTGAGGGGTTGACGAATTCAATGAATTGATTGGATTCGATTTTTTTATGCGTGAACGTTTTTAAGATATAATTTAATATTTGATATTATTATAAATATATATGATAAAATTACTCTTGACATCTTCAATCTAGTCTGAGCTTATCGGTTCTCCCAATTTGCTTGACTCTTCTAGCGTTAACTTTTTATCTAATATCATGTGATTTTGAATGATAATTATGATTAAAATATATATTTGATATATTTATCTCCATCGCATATAAGTTTAGAACTAATGCTTAACTTATATATTTAATAATATTATTAAAATTCAAGTGACATGTTAGGAATTGCGAGTCCGAATAGATTATTGAGCTGTAATTGACCCAAATTGATGTTGCATTGACCGGCCCAATTGGCCCAAATCTGATTGCGGGCGATGTGATCCAATGTGACGTCCCACACGCGACCCGGAAAGAGGAGCGACTCGACGAGTCCGACCCGCACAGGCCTCGATCGATCCCCGGCCGCCGCCATCGATCACCGACCCGCTATAAGTATCTCTACGAACCAAAACCTCTTCTCAGAGAGCGAGCGCAACCATGGAGCGTTCGGCCATGGAAGGCATCTCGGAGCGCCTGGCTTCCGTCGACGGCCTCTACTTCCCCGGCGCCATGCACCGCGAAGCCCCCGACCACGCCCAGCGCAAGTCCGCCCTCCTCGATCTCCTCTCCCGCGACGCTCCCATCTTCCTCGGTATGCTTACCCCATCCCTTCCTTGCCTGTCAACGCACCGTAACCCTAGATCTCACCCTTCAGAGCGGTACGGCTCCGAGCTTACCTCCGACGAGCTCCGCGAGTTCGAGAAGTTGAATCAGGACTACGAGGTGGGATGGCACCTCAACCGGCTCCGCCGCGGCCGGAATCCCACGGCGGAGGACGACCGGACCAGGTCGGTGACGGTCAAGAATCGCCGGAGGGCCTATATGGAGCGGTTGGTTCAAGACGGGGAGTACTTCTCGGAGGATGCGATGAGGGAACGGGAACCCTATCTCCACCACGAATACCTGGGCAAGTTCCAGGACCCCGCCGGGAGGAGCCTTTCTAGGCCCGGAGAGCGGTGGTCAGAGACATTGATGCGCCGATGCGAGGAGGCCATGCTGGTGGAGAAGATCAGAGGGGAGCAACAGCGCTTGGGGGTTGATAAGAGGGAGTGGATTGGTGGTGGTGGAGAGGAGGAGGAGGAGGAGGAGGAGGAGGAGGAAGAGGAAGAGGAAGAGGAAGAGGAGGAGGAGGAAGAAGATGGTGATGATGATATGGCTTTAGAGGAACCCAAAGTTGGGGACTCACCAGAGGTATGACTTCATGTTCAAGAAATGTTATCTTGTTATTTATATTGCCTTTTTTCTTCCCTTGTGGCTGTTTCTTTTGTATTTTGTTATATTGTTTGACAAAACTGGTTCAGAATGATCTATCAAAATTGTCATTGCCAAGCAGTAAGACCGGAACGTGTTATAAAAACTGAAATACAAAATTATACGAAATTAATCTTTCAAATTGATATTCCATTGCCTAGATTAGTCTTCCCAATTGATAACATGAAAATTACACGAAATCGATCTTACTCCAGCTGATTATCTGTCTGTTGATTGCTATTCTATTTCATAAACATTAACAATTCTTTGTTGCTCCTGGGGACCAATATGTCAATTCCTTTGTGAACCAATTCTTGGTATAGATTTTGTCTCATAAATTTGAGCCAAAGAGAAAATTCTTAGTTTTTTAGTTCATGTTCTACGAGATCCTTCATTTATGTCTTCCTCTCAATAAGTTTTTCTTTGAAAGATTATCTGTCTCTATATTCTTATCTTAAATTGGATGATATCTCTGTATTTCATATGGACCAGTCATTAACTTCCACAATTTTTTATTTTTTTAATGGAAGCACTTGTTTTCATAGTCTTTTACTTTTTACCTCGATTCTGAATTTGTTCATTGGAAGAGAAGAGTTCTTAAAATGTTACTAAATCGAGCAATTGAATTCTACAAGTTATTTATCCCTTGAATATTCATGATATATTCTTTAACTAGTTTTTGGACTGTGCAAAATTCGTCCATTCAACATTCATTCTTTTGGCTGTAATGTGCATGGTGTTTGATGCAGTTGTAGCAACCCATGTAATGTTGATACATCATCTTTCTTTATGCTTTCTAAGGTTTTCCAATTCAGTGTCCAATGAGATATCAGCATACAACTTTGCAACCTTTAGTAGTCCTCAATTTTCATATCTGTGCACAAATCCTAACCCTTTGGCTGATGGACAGTGAGAAGTGCTTTGGATGTTTTGTTCTTTTCTATTTCATTCTTTTGTTTTGGTGTATCTGGAAAATATCATATTGGAAACTTATCCTGACTGGCTGAGTTATGGTCTAATCTTAGTTAGCAACTGCTTTAAGAACATCCTATGTCCTTGAAAGTGATTAAAAAAAAGAACGATATATAGGATAATTTACTTGGAATAACTCAACTCTGGACTGATCTCCAACTTCACAGATGGAAGCTGTTTAACCTGTTTATTATTTTTAACCTGGTGACAAAGGATAATGTCGGTGAGATTCTTCGCTGTTGATGTTGTAATTATTGGTACTATTTAATTTTGACTTGTTCATGCAGTCCAGTAGTCTACCTTACCTGTATGGTTTCATTAATTACATGTCTAACTCAATAAAATTACGCTGTATAATCAGTCATATGCATTTGTCTGTTCGACGTTCTTGTTATTAATAATTATGCATGTTATTCTAGAAAGTTGTTAAATTATATAATATGAGTTGTTTTGCACGCAATTAGAGCTGAACATGTGAACTGAAGAAACCAGAAAATTATACCAAACTTAGAATGTGCTGTTTAGTTTAAGTTGCAAGTTTGGCCAGTTTTGGTTTGAGATATAAGATAGATAACAAATATATTCTCTTAGGATTTGGTCTTCAAATTTATTTACCTACCACTGGAGTGGCTAGTGTACTGCACCATGTAATCCCTGAAATCCTTTTTCTCTCTTCCAGCGACCACCTTGAACTTCATTTATGGCCTTGTTCTTTTAGAGTTCCCAAGATGCTTTACGCATTTCAGATTCCTATTCTCGATTAACCTCCAATATTCAATCACTCGTACACTGCATTGGATTTGAGTAGGATCAATATACAAAACCTTATTCTTGCAAGCAGAGAGAACATTTCTGTGACTCAAATGGTGGTCAGATTGGTCCAAAGAGCAGTCCTTGCACACATGCATCACTCCCCAAATAAAGGTCCTATCCTCTTCTTCCAGGAACCTTGAGTTGAGTACCTCTGGTTTGTTGCTCATGTCTCCCTCTTTGTGGAATAGGATAAATGGATCTTGATGCCACCGGTTCCAATAACCACCTGAGGTTGAAGAAGTGGTGGCAAATTTTGAAGATGTTGATTCATATCCAACATGCTCTTCTTGTCCATCGATGCTTGTGATGTCATCAGGATCAACATGCTCTTCTTGTCCATGTATGCTTGTGATGTCATCAGGATCAACATTTGTCGCTGTCATCTCCAATGGCACCTTTGCTAGTATGCTTCACACATAATCTTTATCAATCAATTCTTCACCTTGGAACAAAGAAACTGAACAAATCCATCTTAGACCATTAGTTTGATCTTGTTTCTGTTAGTTTTGGTACTGAACACTAGAAAACCAAAGGTTTTGGTTGAGTTCAGCATTTTGGTTATAACTATACTGACTTGAATCGAGTACGCCTGTACCATGGATTCTCACATCGACACCCACACCTGACATCAAAAACATATCTATGACTTAGATGTTTATCAAACTCTTCCACTATCAAATGATAATCACATGTGAAGTATATCCTTCAATGATCCTAAAACTTCTTCGGGATTTATTTCACACTCATTACATGTATCATACTATTTTTCTTTGATTGTATCACAAAGGAATTGATATATTGGTCCCCAGGAGCAATAAATAATTGCTAATGTTTATGAAAGAGAATGACAATCAACATAAAGATAATCACTGGAGTAAGATCAATTTCATGTTATCAATTGGGAAGATTAATTTCGTGTAATTTTGTATGTCAGTTTTTATAATATGTTTCAATCTCACTGCTTAGCAATGACAATTTTGATAGATCGTTCCGAACCTGCTTCGTCAAATAATATAACAAAATACAAAAGAAAGAGTCACAAGGGAAGAAAGAAGGCAATATAAGTAGCCAAGATATCATTTCTTGAACATGAAGTGGTGAGTCCCCAAATTTGGGTTCCTCTAAAACCATATCATCATCACCATCTTCTTCTTTTTCTTCTTCCTCCTCTTCTTCACCACCACCATCCCACTCCTCGCCCCCAACTTTGTGCCTATTTTACACTCATTGCATGTATCATACTATTCTTCTGTGTCTCTGCGTCTCCATTCTGTCTCCTCGACAAATTGGATACTTGCACACAGAGTCATTGACTAGTTGTATACAAGATTCTCGAGTCTAGATCCTTGCAGTTTTAACCCATAGAAGTGGTCATGTTTATAGGTGGTGATTTGTGTACTTGGTTCTCGATTTTTCAGTAACCATTGATGCTCTGATGCGAGAATCAAGTTGGGTTACATATCAAGCATAGTTCATCATGTTTCTGTGTTCTCTATTCTTCTATTCGATGCCTCATAACCAAGCCACCTAACGTTCACATGTGATTCTGGTAACACTATTCTTGCAATAACTTAATCGACAAAATCCAACTAGAAATACCAAAGTACAAAACCAGTCAAATTTTAAAAGTGAATACTGATTCCGGTTAGCATACACATGTTGATAGGTGTTCATATATATTTTTATATATGTTTGTGTGTGTGTGCAGTCGATATATATATATATATATATATATATACATACATACTCGGGTAGTTGATTGCCTATAGAGATGTTGCTAGGTTATCTTCAATATTTGTTTGGTTTTCAATGTTCACATGCCATCCTTGCATGTACTAGCTTGTAGATTGTTATTCCGGAACCCCATCAACGCCTCATTTGCCATCGTGATGAAAGAACGTAAATGGGGCTTGCTTTGGTCAAGTTTATATATAGTTCTCATAAAGAAGCTATTATATGAATTGCCATGAATTGGTCTTTCTAATACTCCCTCGGTGCAGATGCTTAACCCAGACGCCCATGACACTTGTGCGAGCGCTGCTGCAGCAGTGCCCTTGGAGCAAACACCGTCCGTGGAAGAGATGCAAGATCTACTGGAACAGTTCACTCATGTAATGCAGCAGAAGTTTCTGGCGGGAGAGGATACTGCTTATATCGATTATTCTCTGATAGACAAAGACGAGAGATTGGACGATCACTGGCTCCGGGAAGCTAATTACGACGCCGAGGAGAAATATTTTGAGGAAGACTAGTGGTTGGTGATCGGCCATCCAGTATCCATCCATGAACAGTTAAACACAACAGATACGCCACTCATCTCTTTGTCAACTTTTAGATTGGAGATCTCTTCTGTATTCGTCTTTAGGCTCTCTGTTGTATATACAAAAGCACCAACCATAGTTGTTATTTTTTGTATATATGGTGGGAAGCGATCCTATGGAGCTGAAGCAAAGAGGCTGTGGCGAGATCTGATTTGGTATGATCAGAATTAGTTTTGGAATTAATTATTTCCACTGTTTTAATTATCAATCTCTTACTGTGGTAGTATTGTGCATAACTCGTGGAGTAAGAAGACTGCTGCAGGCCGCATGACCAGCCCAAACCCAACCCCAAGATTACAACTCAGGGCAAGGAGATAAGCCAACGTGGCACTCGTAACCCTTCTCCCTTATCTTCTCCCTCGATGTTCTCGGAAGCCAAGACCACCACTTGGACTTCCCTTATCCTTTGCCTCCCTGCAACGGTCACTCTCTCCCTGCTTCGTCCCTGTGTCCAAACACTCGGCCCAAACCAGCAGAGACTAGTGGTAAGTCCGGTGCAGACCGAGGCAGCGCCATGATGGCTTGTTCTTCTCTCCTGACCGCACCCACCTCCAAGCCAACGCCACCGCTCGCCACCCTTTCCTCCCGGCCTGTTGCCTCTTCATCTTTATCCCCGCCCACCGCCACATCCGGCGCTTCCCCGGGCGGCAGCCGAGCCATGACGGGCCGTCGGGAACTGGCGTTGGCCCTGTCGACCTCGGCGACGTTGCTGCTCCTTCCGGCAGCCCCCCCGGCGCTCGCCACGTCGGACGAGGAGTACGTGAGGGAGACGGCGGAGGTGATCAACAAGGTGCGCACCACCGTCGGCATGGACAAGAAGGACCCGAACGTGGCGGTGGCCGTGGCGGAGCTGCGGGAAGCGTCCAACACCTGGGTGGCCAAGTACAGGAGGGAGAAGGCCCTGCTGGTGCGCGTCTCTTTCAGGGACATGTACTCCGCCCTCAACGCCGTCTCCGGCCACTACATAAGCTTCGGCCCCACGGCGCCCATTCCCGCCAAGCGCAAGGCCCGCATCTTGGAGGAGGTGGACACCGCCGAGAAGGCTCTTCTCCGTGGGAGGTAGGCGTGTAGGCCTACTACTTCATCATCTCTGTGTCCAGTTTTTGCTTTAACTGAGATGCATTGTATTCGGGTCGCTCGTTGCATTGATATACTTGGACGTATGTCAACTCATATTTCTGTAACCGGTTGAAAAGCTAATGCTGCTGTTGCTGCTGCTTCATTTCTTCTTCACCTTCAATAGTCTTTTGCTGAAAGCAGAAGGATTTCAATTGCTTGGGTCTATGTAGTGAGACGCCCTGTAGAATTCTTGTTCGCTTGTATAGAACACACATTTCTTTCTGGAGATTAAAATCAATAATAAAAGATAGATAAAACCCAAAGAAATGTGGCTATACATAATAAACCATGTGAGCTGATTGCAATCAAGAATATATTAAGTATCATCAATAAATTTGTAAATAATTCTCAGAAATCTTTTAAAAAAATATATATCTTTAATATGCTATGTGATTCTAATTAATATAATTTCATTTGATTTAATATGTTAAGATGATGCTCGATTGTAGATACCAACCTTCGATCTAGAGATATCAACCTTGGATCTAGAGATATCAAAAGAATGGGCAAGATGGGGAATACTTCTCTCGTCCCGATCCCATTCTCTGTAATAGGGGCGAGGAACTCACGGGTTCTTCATATCATTCTAATTAATTTTATTTATTTTTTTAAATTAAATTTATTATCAAACCTAATTAATGATATTAAAATTTATACATAGCAAATAATAAATATATTCAATATAAATAAAAATAAAATTATCATAACCCACGTGAGATGCAAGGAAAGATAGAGGAAGATCGAAGAAAGGCACGAGGGGAGGGGCAGGGGACTACAAGGTGAGTAGGGATAACTACGACAAGAGGGTAGGTGATTGTAACCACTACGATGAGAGGGCAGGGGTGCTGTGATGAAGGGAGAAACCGAGAAGAGGTAAGAGGGAGAAGAGATTATACGTCGGGAAGAAGAGGTGAAAGAGAGAAGAATGTCGAGGAATCGTTGCCCATTGTTCGATCACCGGAGTAATCATCATTTGTTGGTGGAGAGAGGGCCAATGAACATAAAAGTCAAACAACTACCGTGGCACCATCTATACAATTAGGGATTGGGTGTGCGCAATGCATGAGGTTGCAGGGAGGAGTTATTACTATTGAATGAGGAGATATTTCATTTGATTCAATTGAACTAAATTTTTTTAATTGAATCATAATCAATTCCCTAATCTAATTTGAATAATAAAAATTTATAATATCTAATGTTTGAGCCTAATTACTCATCCATGTATTAACGTGCAAGTATAGATATAAGGTGGGGAGTGCTCTACTTGTCCCTGTCTCCTATTTATGTGAATAATACGTGGGTATTATTGACATCCCTATTTGGATCTCACCAAGGTGAATAAGAACGTTTGATTTAATTTATTTTTCATCAATATTGTGAGTAGTTTTTCACATAATCAAATTAATATCTTCGTTTTTTTTTTTCTCTAGGATTTTCTGTTTGATCCTCTAATTCTCTTGATATATCTTTTAAAGATCTAATTTGACCAAAAACATCAAACCTTTTTTTGGATAAAATATTAGTAGACTCAAGACTTCAATCCCAACTCCGATAGGAACTACAATCTTGACTGAAAATTTTAAACAAAAATCACATCTAATCATAATATTAAATTTAATATCCCAACAAAAGTTCCACCCGTCGCAAAACCTCCATGCACTTTATGCCCACGGAACAAGCTACCGTGAGACTTGCACCAAGCCAACCACGCAACAAGCTACGGTAAGGCTTGCGGTAATCCAACCCTGAATAATACCACGCGCTCTCACTGTTATTACAGACGAGAGGCAATCCCACCGTTGAAACTCCAACATCACGCACTACTTAGATAAGAAAAATGACCAAACTATATACCATGAAGATGTAAAAATGATCAACCAGAAGTAGTGTCGAAGAAAAGATAAAAGAAGAAATCTTCTAAGCTCAGTATGGGATTAAAAAAAAAAAAAAAAGAAGGGAAATGGAAGAACTATCTTGATGATGAACAATTATATTGGCAGTATGTACACAATCATATATCCATTATGGTGAGTGAGAGAGAGAGAGACATGGAAATCTTTCAACTTCAGCAACATAATGTACAATGCATGCCACGAAATTACTACATCCAATGGTATATGATTCATTGCAGTTCCTTTTACTGATGAACTCTTCATCTCTAACAGCTACCCTGAAACCCGCAGCCATGGTTGAGAAGGAAACATTAACCTTTCTTAGCTCTTCATAAGAAGCTTGAGAAGTGTCGGTGAAGGATCCATAATATGTAACACAAGTATGGTGAAGATGGCAACGTTTAGAGCTCCTGCCAATCTTGATCTCCTCTTAAAGGGGCCTTCATCACTTAGAACTTCTGAGGATTTCTTACACCAGATGGACTGGGAACATTGGAACTCATGCTTGCAGTTCTTAGGAGCTTACGAAATTCAGACAAGCTAATCTTGCCATCTTTGTCGATATCAGCTTCCTCCAGTAATGGTTCAATAGAACCCTTCAATCCTGTATGCTGCAATAAAACACAGATTGCCAATTAGAAATTGTTGCTGATTACGATATTAGTCTATTCCATAGACAATCTGTAGACTACTTCTAGTAAGAAAAAAAGCTTCATATGGCATAGTGAAAGAATTTCTAGAGTTTAAAATTTTAATGGTGGTACAATATCATATTTTGGCTTATTGTTTCAACATTAAGACATGGAGAAGATGGAACCATGCCTAGTGTACTTAAGATTTTTCTTTCTTTTGATGAGACTACATGGGTCAAATGTTTAGGGACTACCACCAGATGGATTTGAACCTAAAACCACTTTCAAGTTGAACCAACTAATGGGACTTTGCCTGGTTGGCAAAATAATTGTTTTTCTGGAGAATTCTACGAAACTCTAGACACAGATTAGGCCAACCAAAATTTACCATTCTAAGTTCCTCCGGTGTAATGTATCCATCTCTATCCACATCAAATTTTTCAAAAGCTGCTTTACAACGTGAACGCCATTTCTCAGAATCATGCTCCTCCATCTGATGCACATGCAAAGTTGCTGCAACAAATTCAGTGAAGTCAACAAGTCCATCGGTGTTGCTATCAATCTGCAGAGTAACATGAAGTATCAGTCCATCCGTTAACACATATTAGCATATACGATATTGAAGCAGAGACAACTACAGAATTAATTAGCACACGAAGGTAATCAATATTTATTGGTCTGAAACATTGTACAAAATCTTGAATCTTCTTACTACCATCAATGTATGAAAATGTAAATTTCAAATTGAGAACCCCCAGTATTAACCAGTATAAATTTGTTTTAACATCTTTCATTTTGGGTTTTCATTTGTATTTATCTTTTCACAGAACACAAACATTGGCAAGGGAATTAGCAAATAGCACAGTATTCATATATATATATATATATATATATATATATATATATATATATATATA